GGTTTAGAGAATGGAATATGTCCTAGTCACTTCCCGGGTGGGGGCGGGCCTCTGGTTTGTGAGAAAGATGAAGGTAGCTGGAGGACGGAGATTGGGGGTTCTCCCCGTGGGGACTGTTTTGGCCGCCAGCACCTCCTCTGTCCCGCAGGCCCCAGGGCCGCTGGCGGGAAGTGGGAGAGGCCCCGGGGGTCTGAAGCCCGCGCTGACTCGGCTCGGAAGTCCGAGCCCCCGGCCCCCACCTGGCACCTTGTTGGTGCTCAGCCAGGGGCGCGCTCAGTGAACCATGCGCTCCACAGGGGGCTCCCTGGAATCTGCAGGAATTAAGGGAATCCAGGAGTCCGCGAGCACTTCTTCCCTCCCCGCCTCGTTTCTGGCTGCCTTCTCCGCGCCGGCCGAGCCCCAGTAACGTGCATCTGTGTGCACGAGCGTCTGTGTGTGCATCTGCGTGTGCGCATCTGTGTTCATGTCTGTGTGTCTGCGCGCGTGTCTGCGCGTCTGTGTGTCTGCGCGTCTGTGTGACTGTGCGCACGCGTTCCTACTCCCAGAGTCGGCCGTGCACCCTCTGAGCTGCCCTTCGTGACCAGGGAGAACCTTCCAGTCGTGTGCAGCCCAGGTGGCGTGTCCAGACCTCGATTCTAACCTGGGCTCTGCCTGGTCACCTCACCTCTGTATCCTCAGTTGTCCGCTCGTGACTTTGGAAAATTCCTTCACCTTTTATAAGGTGATTCAGCTCAGCGTGTGCAAGTACTTCATGGACAAATAAGAGGAATAACTGATATCTTAGGAGGCCAGCACTTTGCTCTTCTCGTAAAAATGCAAGGACAGCATATCTCCATCCCGGACTCTGTCCAGAGTTCTGCCCGCCACAGGGGTGGGAGAACGGGGGAGGGGGGCAGAGCAGCCCTGGGGAGAGGCCCGAGACCTCCACCCTCGGCGCCCCACCCCGGGCCCTGGGTTGGGAAGCCTGGCTCGTGGGCAGCAGGACACCCCGCGGGGAGGGTAAGCCTTGTGCCTCCACATCAAGCAGAGAGCCAGGCGGGAGGGGAGGCTGCCTCTCACCCTTCCCCGAACAGCTGTCTGCTGTCTGTCTGTCCCTGTCATCTGTCTGTCACCTGGCCCGGGTCTGGGTCCCCGCACTGCTGTTCCCACCTGAAGACAACCCTCTCTGTAGGTCTGGCCTCCCCGCAACCTGTGGCTCTGAATCCAGGCCAGGCAGCTGCCCCCGGGGCGAAGCTGCAGGCCTCCCAGCCCACCTGTCCTCGGCGAGTGGACAGTGCCCTCTAGTGGGCGCTGCTGGGAGCTGCTGCGCCCGCCCCCCTGGGCCTGCCTGGGGCTGCCCCAGGTCCTTCCCGTTGCGTTCAGGCCGATGAACCGCCGACACACGCCTGCCTGCCGGGGCCTAAGTGTGCCTTTGCATCTGGCGTGTTTTCTCCTTGTGCGAGGACAAAGCAAGGACAGTGGGGATTCAAGCTGTGACGGTCCCCTTATCTGATGTCACCTCAGATGCTGTTTAAAGGGCAGGCGACCGTTTCTATGGAAACCACCTGCCTGCCCTGACTGGTCTCTAACGTGGGGGGACATCTGTGGGAAGGAAACGTCCCCGTTGACAATTACGCCCAAAGGGCGAGGCCTGCCGCTGGGGACAGGGCCGCATGCTCGGGGGGCCGGGGCCGGACCGCGCAGCCCAGACTGGCAGAGCCCCGTGTGTGCTGGCGCGGGCCACCCAGCAGGGCGCCGGAGCCCTAGACACGTGTGCTGGGCCCTGGATTGGGCGGCGGCTGCGCCGGCTGGAATTGGACCTCGGGGGCTGAGCATTCGCACCCAGGGGCCCAGACGAGGGCCCACTGAGTCTGCACGGTGCCCGGAGGTAAAAAGGACCTTTTAAATAGTCACTGGTCTCCTGCCCGCCAAGTGCCGGCGTCACGCTGTGAATAGGCGGCATCCGTTCCGCGTAGACACAGCGCCCCTCTCACACACGCGTTTAACGTCGGCGGGATGTTTCCCAGCAAGTGGCTGACCAGGTCCGTGTCAGAGCCCACCGCAGGCTGGCTGTGGGCACAGACGTGGGCGCGGACGGCCCCGCGGGCCCCCCCGCCCCGGGCCGCCAGCACCTGCCGTGCAGCGGTGGAGACCAAGGCTTCCTTCCTCTCGTCTTCCCGTTCCTGTAGGTACTGGTTTTCCTCTGAAAATTTGTACCTGAGCGTCCACCGTTGGTGGTGTGGGGCCTTGTATTTTTATCACACCAGTTTCTAGCCCACATTTAGAAACCAATTACATTACAGTTGAGTGGGTCCTAATTTCTGTTTTAAAAGTATTTTTATAGGACTCATGAAGTGATAAAATCTAAGTGAAATGCTAACACTTTCATTGTCTTTATTCCCCCCCAAACTAACCGGGCCCTGCGTGGCCGGGGTGCCCTCGCTCTGCTCCCTGTGACGCCCTGAAAGCTCGCGGCGGGCGGGGCTTCCTGCCCGGGTCCTGTTCCTTCCTCGTTTTATTTAAAACCATTTCAATGTCCAGATCAAGAAAAACAGGGACCGGGTCGGTGTGTGGAGTTTGTGGGTGTAGCTGTGCTTCCTGCCGATTGTTTACAAGAGGGAGTGGGTGGGGGGAGGGGATGCCGCCAGGAGGGCGGGAGGGGCAGGTACCCTCAGGTGGGTTCGGCCCCCGGGAACAGGGCTGGGAGCACACCCTGGCCACCTCCCTGTCCCTGCAGGCGCTGGGGCCAGCCCCTCGGCCCCCGGGTGCCGCTCCTGCCTGGCTCCCCGCTGCCATGACTGATTGTATCTGGTAGCAGGGGGAGCCGGTGGGGTCAGCGAGGCAGGAGAAGGGGGCGCAGGTGCTGGGGAGGGTCCGTGACACACCCCCGCCCCCCGCAGGTGGCGGGCAGGCAGCGCCGGGGGGGCACACGCCCGCACCGTGGAGATGCCGCTGCTCTGTCGGCCGCCCTCGTCAAGAACAGCGATTGCCCTGAGGTGGTTCGTGTGGGCCCCGAGCATGCGGCTGTGAGAAACCAGCAGGCCCACCCGCCGGGGCGGCCCCACCTCCGGCACCGACTGCGGGAGCCATCGCAGCCTCGGGGCGCGCTGGACGGGCCTCAGGAGAGCCGATGGTGGGGGTGGGGGTGGGTTTCGCCCTGGCCCCGGTGTTTTATGGCCACACGGAAGGAACCATTAAGAGTGATTCAGAGGCGGTTCTTTCCTTTTAATGAGTCGTAAATATTTTTGTTGATAAAACAATTAAAGTTCGCTAAACAAAACCCACTAGAGAAACAGCCACCACCCTGCACACTCGTGCCCCCGCCCCCAGGGGAATCCACTGCACTGAGGCCAGGAAGGCGGTGGGGGAGGTCCTGGCTCCTGGGCTCACTTTCGACCTATGACCTCCGACCTTCGACCTTTGCCGGGGGCCTGCACAGCATTCAGTGACTTTCTTAGCGAAGGCTTTGTGGGCGGCGACGTGCTTTCCCAGGGACAGTGGGGGTGAGCGTCAGTTCAAAGGGCAGAATGACACGCTCGGACTTCATTGGTCAGAGATCAGCCCCAGGGACGTGTGGCTCTTCCTGTGACCTCCTGAGCCTCCAAGGCAGGGGGTGCTGCCCTCGGGCGAAAGCCCACGGAATACGCCCGGCGATCCGCTGCCGCCGCCCGCCGCCCGTGTGCGGGGCGCTCGGGTTCGGGGGCGGCGGGGGAAGGGCCGGTGTGCGTGCAGGGGCGCCCCGCGCGCCCCGCCCCTCTCTCTGCGCCAGGCCGCCCTCATCCCCTTCCACCCTCCGCTCCGACGGCTGCCGGCCTTGCACTTGACGTCCGCATCTCGTGCGTGCGACGCTGGAGGACTTGGGGTTTCCTTGTGAACCGCTCTTCTCGTGGTTCTCCTCAGCCTGGGAGAAGCCAGGGGCCCGTGGGCGCTGCTGGAGTTGCCGCGACGGGGCGCCCCGGACTCCTGCGCGTGCCCTCCCACTGCGCGCCTGTCACGGCTGTGACAGCCCCGTGGGCTCACCAGACATCCCCCCCCGCCCCCCCGCCCCGAGCCGCCTCTTGTTCCCCATTGGTCCAGTGTCGCACCTGCTGGGTCACAGGGACCAAACTCGGGACTCCTGCCCCTCTGTCCCCGGTCACTACCCCACCTGGAATGTCCTTCAGTGGTTCTCAGCGGCGGCTGACGGCCTTGCTGGGTGTGGACGAACGGTTTGTTTTGTGGCAGGCTCTGCGGCACCGTGAAGGGACCGCGCGGTCCCTGCTGACTCCCTAATCACCCGACCCCTCCGGCCCAGGCTCTGTACCCCCGTGGCCGCTGTCCTTTGGGAAAAGGCGTCCGTGTCTGCGATGGGAGCCCCTGGCTCCTGCGAGTCCGACACAGCGTGTTCCCAGGCCCGGCCTTGTGGCCGGCGGGGCAGAGGCCCAGCCCCCAGGACAGACGCCGCTGCCTTAGGCTCCCCCACACAGCCGCTGGCGCAGCACGGGGGCCTGAGGCTTCGGTGCCGACGCACCGCGGTCCCGCCTCCGTCCGCTGTGGAGTGCAAGCTTAGGCCGATCGGATCCACCGAGTCGGAGCCTAACAGCAGCGCAGACTCACAAACCTCTGAAACTGGAATTGAAGGAGGAAATGCTGTTCAAACTCCCGTTACAACCTAGCAGCGTGCGGATGAAAGTGAAAAGTATGTAGTTATTATGAAATGTGCGTAGTCTCGAAATGTCTTTTACTGCGGTAAAGTTTACACGATGTAAAGGTCACCGTTTTAACTGTTTCCAAGCGTCCAGCTCAGCGGCGTTGAGCACGCTCGTGGGGCCGTGCAGCTGCCCTCCAAACTCCTTTTGGATCTCCCCAGGAGGAGCCTCGGCCCCCGCCCCCCGAGTCCGCGGCCCGGGGGGGCGCCGCCCCCCGCCCAACGCCCGCTCTTTCCCAGCCGTGCGTGGGCCCACAGAGCCGCACTGCAGGGCATTCGGAGCCCCGTGCCGCGGGTGTGTCCGTTTAAATTTCTCCTCTCTGTCTTCCTGCAGTTCTGAGCATCCGGGGCGCCCAGGAAGAGGAGCCCACCGACCCCCAGCTGATGCGCCTGGACAACATGCTGCTGGCCGAGGGCGTGGCCGGCCCCGAGAAGGGTGGGGGCTCGGCGGCCGCGGCCGCGGCCGCAGCGGCTTCCGGGGGGGCCGGCTCCGACAACTCAGTGGAGCATTCGGACTACAGAGCCAAACTGTCCCAGATCCGACAGATCTACCACACGGAGCTGGAGAAGTACGAGCAGGTAGGCTCTGCGGGGTCCGGGGGCGGAGGGGACACAGAACTCCGCCCGGGCCAACGTTCGCCCGGACTTGGTCCACTGAGAGTCGGACACGCGAAACGCCCTTCCTTCACGTGATGCGTGCTGTGCAGTAGGGGCAGGCCCGGCCTCCGGGGACCCCTGGGGTCAGGCAGACTCGGGTGCCAACCCTGACCCTCAGCCGATGGCCCGTGGGGGCCGGCGTTCATGCACGCTGGCCCAGAAGCTCGTGGCTTGTGGCACCGAGCTGTCGGTTTGGAGTCAAAGATGTTACAGGGCCATCAAAAACGAAGTGGAGGACAGGGCAAGAAAGGCCTGAAATGGTGTGGCAGGGTGTCAGCGTGAGGCGCTGTAGGTGGAGTGGAGCGTCTCTGGACCGTGACCGCCCCGCCCCGCCCCTGCATGCACACTCGCGTCCCCACGCGCGCTCCCGTAGCAGACAGCTTCCTCGGCCGGCCGCACGGCGGCTGCACACAGGAGCCCCTGATGCCAGCGGCCGTCACTTCCTCGACAAGCGAGCCTGGTGCCGGTGTCCTGCAGGCAGCTTCCTGCGCTGGCTCGTCGGGGCCTGGCTTCCGTTCTTTCCTGAGTCACAACAGAGCGGGGAAGAGCGGAAGGTGTAGGACCCCCCTGCATCCTATGACTGTCTAGGTAGAAGGCAAAGGCAAACCTACAGGCAGTTCAGATTTTAAAATAGAAATAGGCCTTTTAAAGTTTAAAGTGAGTGTTTCATTATTATGCCCCTCTCTCCCTTTGAGATGGATTTCTTCAAGGGCCCTTCTCTCGTGAGATAAATAACTGCCGTGGGGCAGAGGCCCCGCAGGGTGAAACCCGGCCGCTGGGGGCGCTGGGCTCACGGGGAAGGAGGGAAGCGTCTGGAACAGGTGGGCTGGCCAGTGTCGGCGCTCGTCCCTTGCGCCAGAGCCTGGAGCTGCTGCCTTGAGAGCCACTGACGCAAGAGGGCCCCCCGCCTGGACCGTCACGTTGGGGCCCAGAGTGTGCCTGCCCCGTGGGGTGACTTGGAGAGACACGTGGGGACACGTCCGACAAGGGTCCCCAGGTGGCCTCATGGCCTCCTCTTCCCTCACCACCAAGCCTGCTTCTGGCATAACTCCCTGTCCAGGCCTGACATCCAGGTAACTCAGGCCTAACACCGGGGCTCAGGGAGCGCGGACGTGGGGTGGGACGTGTTCTTAGCGCCGGTGGCAGCGTAGAAGAGCGGACTGCGCTCCTGTTGAACCCGCGGTCCCTCCTCTGTCCTCATCCAGAACAAGGGCAACACTTATGCCCACGTAACCCCGTTCGTTCCTCAAGATGACTCTGGTGGGTGCCGAGGACGGGTGCTACCGTCTCTCCATTCGAGACGGGCGAGGAAACGAGGCCAAAGTTCGGCGACGAGCCAAGGGCACAGGGTCGCGCACCCAGCCCGATGCCTCCTGGGGCGACGCCGAAGCCGAGAGAGTCCGTGGGCGTGGCGGGTGGCCGGGGTGGAAGGCCCCCTTCAGGGACTTCTCCGGGACGCGCGCCTGCGCAAGGGCGTGAAGCGCGGGGCCTGGGGACGTCGGGAAAACTCCGCCATCGCAGAGCACGCAGCCCAAGCGGTGGGGTCGGCCGCGGGTGTGACCCGGGAACGGCTGGGGCGTCGTCGCCCGGCCCGTGGGCGCCTCCTGGGGAACCCCCCCTGCGCACGGCTCTGCCCCCGCGGGGTGCTGGTCGCTTACCAGTGCTTGTCACCCTGTGCCCGCAGCGAAGAGCGGGTTGCGGGGGCACCGGGCCGCCAGCCCCCCAGCCGGTCTGTCTGAGAGGGCCGGCCGCCCCGTGTTCGGTGGCCGTGGCTCGCGGCAGCGTCTGCGAGCAGCAGGGCGCCTCTGTGAAGGGGCCCGCCTCTCCGCGTGCGCGCACCGGGGCGAAGCGACCGCACGGGCCGTCGCGGTTGCCTGTGTTGCTCTCCTGTGTCTCGTCTCTTCCTCAGTGTGCCCGGGGTAGGGGACCAGGCGCTGAGGGAGCTTCGCGGTGATGAGCACTCACCCCTCTGACCCCTCCCAAAACAGAAAACCTGCCTGAATCAGCCCCTCTCCCCGCCCCCAGGCTCTTCGAGAACGGGGGCTGCTGGAGCTCGCGGCAGAGGGAGCGGGAGGGAGCGGTTCCGTGCATCCGCGGGCTGGGCAGCCGCCTCGGCGGCAGGTCGTCCTGGTCGCTGAGGACTGGGGAGTCTGAGAAACGAAACCGCCCGGTGGAAGCCTGCCTGTCGGTCTAAGTGCTGTTTGTTTGTTTGTTTGTTTGTTTGTTAATCTCCGTCTGAGAGTATGTTTATTGATCATTAGAGAGAGAGAGAGGCGGGGCAGGGGCCATGAATCCGCCTCTGGCGTGTGCCCTGCCCGGGTTCGAACGTGCAGCCTTTTGCAGACCTGGAGACGCTCCCGGCAGCCGAGGCCCCCGTCCTGAAGGACGCGGCTGCTGGGGCCTGGCAGGTTCCCCGGGTCTTGCCTGCGACGCTGCCAGCACGCTGGGGGCTGGGTCTGGCCCGGGCTGCTCAGGCCCCGCGGTCCTGGCTCTGCCCTTGAGGAGACTGGTGTCGCAGGCCGGTGGGGGGCTGGGGGGCGGGGACACGGATGAGCAGAGAACAGGGTGCGATCTCAGACTCCAGGACCTAGAGTGGGACTTTCCCAGAGGGCCTGTCCTTGGCTTGCTGCTCCCAGAAGTGGCCTTGCACTGGCAGCTGAGACGGGTGCTGCCGCTCGGCTCCTGGGGGCCGCGGCCGTGCTGGCCTCGGAGGGAGGGACTGACTGTCTTCGTGACGTCCCCGCAGTCCCCTCCGTCCCAGAACCCGCCGACCCATGAGGGTTCTGTCGATGAACAACCGTCACCCAGTATCCACAGTGCTAGGGAGGCAGCCCGGCCGCCAGGGCCGGCCCGGGGTGGAGGGGGAGGCGCGGGCAGCGGGGGCCTGCAGAGCCCGGGGTCGCGATGTCCTGTCCGTCTGGCGCAGGCCGGAACGGGGTGGCGTCGGCCACGTGTCCGCTCCGCAGTGGGCGAGGGCCTCCGCTGTCTGCGGACGGCCGAGCGGGTGGGGCCCTGGACTAACATCGGAGTGCAAGTGCTTTTCTTCTCAGCAACGAAGCGCGTTATTGTCCGCCGCGCACGGCGGCTCCACAGCAGGAAGCTGGGCCGTGCACCCCGTCGGGCCCCGCGAGGCGAGGAGGCTGCAGGAGGCTGCTGAGTGCGCGCTGCCCAGCTGGGTGTGGGAGAGGCTCAGAGAGAGGGCGCTGGATGCAGAGCTTGGGTTTCCATAGTAACCTCTGAGCGGGGGCGGAGTGCCACGCGGACCCTGCTGTCTGGGGGTCTGTCTTCAGCATGTGCCTGCGGAGGGGAAGGAAGGTGCCTATTGACCCCTTATCTTTACCAGGAAGGAAACTGAGGCCTGGGGAGGCTGACCCAGTCTATGGCAACACGTCGGGTTCCTAAGGGCCCAGGAGTTTGAGGAGATCGTGACCCACATTTATATGGCCAGACGCATGCACAGGAACGTGGTCATGTCATGGAGAAGGAATAAGAGGACGTAGGTGTTAGGTGGCTTTCGAAGGCCCCCAGCTAAGCGAGCCGCAGAGGCAGCCCCGTCTGCGGGGTTCCTGTGGCGGGTGCGCTGCATCCGCAGCGCACAGCTCGGCCGTGCGGTGACGGCCAGGCTCGCGAGGGCCGGGAGCGATCACGCCCTCTCAGACGAACGGAGCGAGGCGCCGAGCATGAGAGGACTCGCCCGCGTCCGCACGGAGGCGGGCCAGGCAGTCCCCAGTCCCCGGTGCAGACCCGGCCGGCCGCGCGGCTCTGTGTGTCTTTGGCCAGCCGTCCTCAAGGGACCCCTCAGAACAGACCGCAAAGGGGCCGCCATCACCGGTCGTCCGCAGAGTGGGTGATGCCACGTTGTCGTCCGCAAACACGCGTCTGTCGAGACCCAGGGGGATCCTCTGAGTCCTTAGTCCTCAGTGTGTCAGAACAGCCCCTGGCCTTTCCCGCTGCAAACCGAACGCGCTTGGGCGACGTGGCTGCGAGCACACCTGTGCACAGGTGCCCTGCGGGCTGCTGAGCTCGGGACACCAGGCGGCAGGTGGTGGGGGCAGGACCTGCGAGAAAGGGCAGGCGGGGCGAGCGAGGGGCAGGGAGGCTCGGGCCCTGCCTGGGGCGGCCGGGCGCCGTGCGGCTTTGGGAAGGGCCCCCCGCCCCGCTGGGCCCCCGTCCCCCGGCTGTGAACCAGGGGCTGGGCGGTGGCCACCGCCAGCCAGGCGCCCGCCTGCGGGGTGAGCCCTGCCGGTGCTGTGTCCGTGGGGCCTGCGGGACGAGTGCCCGCGCGAGTGCCCGCGCAGCTCCCGACGGTCCGCACAGAGGGGCTTGCGGAAGAGCAGCGGGAGTCGGCGGGTTGACGGTCGTCCTCTCCGGCGTCGGGGCTGAAGGACCAGGCGGGACGCCTGTGTCCCGTGGACCCCAAACGCTCCGCACCGTGGGCGTCGGGTGAAGGGCAGCGACCTGTGTGTCGTTCTGAATGTAGGCTCTGCTACTTTACAACAGTGAAGTCGTGAAAGAAGAGGATTAAGAATTTCTTCCCTCAGAACCGACATATGGCCAGAAGTTAGCGGCCCGGGGACTGGAAGGGTCTCTGCGCCGTCACCTCATCTGGCCTCCAGCTTGACAGACGCCTCCGCTGGCCCCGGCCTCCCGCGGGCGGGCCCTCACCTGCATGTTCTGTCCTCCCCCAGGCCTGCAACGAGTTCACCACCCACGTGATGAACCTGCTGCGCGAGCAGAGCCGGACCAGGCCCATCTCCCCGAAGGAGATCGAGCGCATGGTGAGCATCATCCACCGCAAGTTCAGCTCCATCCAGATGCAGCTCAAGCAGAGCACGTGCGAGGCCGTCATGATCCTGCGCTCCCGGTTCCTGGACGCGCGGTGAGTCGCCCGCAGCCTGTCCCCTGGGGGCACGCGAGGGGCTGGGCCCCACAGCTGTCACTGGTGCGGCCGAGGGAGGCAGGGGGCCGGGGCGGGGGGCGCGGTGTGTCCCGCAGCAAGGGCGATGTGGCTGCGATGGCAGCAGAGGCGGGATTTCCGCTTTCCTGCCACTGGGGCCTCCTCCGTGGGGCCCACGCATCCCACGAGCACGCGGCGGCGGCGGCGAGCTGAGAGCCAGGGCCCTTACCAGGCCCCGTGCAGGGGCCGGGGGCCGGGCCCAGGCAGCCGCAGAGCACGGAGAGGGGGTGGCGCAGGCCTGGGGGCGCCGGGGCAGACCTGCCCCCGGCCTTGAGAAAGCCAGACAGCGGCGTGTCTCTGGGCCACTTAGAATTTCCGAGAGAAACTAAACCAAAGGCCGCTTTTCCCGGCCGGACGCAGCGGTGAACGGGGGAGGCGCAGCCCCCCAGACAGGACCCCGGGCCCCTTGCCTCCCGCCCGCTCCCCGCTGGCTGCCAGCCTGGCTCCTTGAAGTGGCTGTTCCACACGGTGCAACGGGCCAGTGACTGGTGGCCTCTGTCTTGGTCCCTCCCTGTGCCACCACCGCTCTGCCACCCGCTGGCAGCGCCCCTCGTTGAAGTGCCAGGGTTGGTGTTTACGTGGGCAGATACTGAAAAAGAGGAAAGTCGGGCGCAGACTGAGTTCTTCCCAAGAACGGAGACGGGAGGCGGGCGGCGCAGAGCCCTGTGCCGTGGTCTGTTCTTGCTGCCGCTCGCAGCTCCGCTGCGCCCGGTTCGCGGCCAGACTCAGCTCGTTCCCCTCGCACCCGCCGGCCTTCCCCGCGACCGTCCCGCTGGCGCCAGGAGGACAGTCCCTTCGAGAGAGGCCCCTTCCCTGCTTTGGTCACCGCCTCGGAGTCCCTGTCTGAGCCAGGCTCACCCGCTGCCGCTGTCCTCAGCGCGTACCCCGAGCGCCTGTTTGGTGTCGGCGAAAGAGTGGGACCCCAAACGCCGTCCCCCGCCGGCAGCGGTGGTCTGAGCTGAGCGCAAGTGCCTGCCCGACCTGCTGCTCGCGGGGCGGGAAGCGGTGCCGCTGCCCGGGCCGCGGGGGGCTTCCGGGCACGCGCTGCTCAGCCAGGCGAAGGCTCCCTCAGAGACAGGCGGCTGCCAGGGCGCGTGGCCTGGCCACGGGCGGGCTTGTTCTGACACCAGCTGTGTAGACGCTGCATCGCTGCGTGGCTGGGCGGCGCTGCTGTGTCAGTCCTCTGCTATCGCCCGCGTGACCCCAGCTTTAGCAGCCGGAGCAGCACAGCTGTCGCCGCGCCGTTCCTGCTGCTCGGGGCCTCCCGCCGGCCCCCGGGCCCCCAGTGCGGGCACATCGCAGGCCCCCGTGACGGCAGGACGGCGGGACCGCGGTCCCAGCTCCTGGCGGCTGCCTCTGCGCAGGCGCCCCCAGCGCAGCCAGCGGAGGGTCTTGCTGTTTCAAGCTTTAGCCTGAACCTCCGTGTCCGTGGACTCAGACCCCGATTGCCGCTCCGAGGAATGGCAGCCTGTCCTGATCACAGCCCCGCTGTCCCCAGAGGTGGCTGTGAGGTGGGGGTGGGGGGGTGGTTGCTTACAGGCTTCGGCGGAGCCCCCCACACACCCTCTGCCCCCCACTGCCCTGGCCGGGCCGGGAAATTGCAACCTGAAGGCTCCGTTCGTTCGTTTGTTCGTTCCACACGCGTCCGCTTGCCGTGGGCCGCGCCTGGCGCTGCAGCCCCGCGTGAGTCTGCTCTCAGGGCCGCAGATTCAGCTTCCTGTTCTTTCTCTTTATTTTTTCTGGGGCAGAAGGTACAGTGGTTCGTGGGCAGGGTGCCAAGCAAGGAGGCGCAATGAGCTAGTGCTCGAAATCCGAACTTCGTAAACACGTTTTTCTTGGTTTCAACCCTCTCAGTGATTGTCTGGCAACAGTTTGACTTTTTTTAGTAACATCTTGCTGGAAGAGCCCGCACGCACCTCGCCCTGGCCGAGGGGGCGCACGGGATGACTCGGCGGGCGGGCGGGCGGAGAGGAGGGCCGCCGGGGCGTTTGCTCGCACAGGCTGTGGTGAGGCCCGTTACGCCCAGCGGGGTTCTCGCTCTCGGCCGGGCGCTGTGGTAGCCACCGGGCTGTGCACCGGCCCTCGGGTCAGGGCCTCGTGGAACGCCACGCAAACCGCACGCGTGGTGCAGGCTGGGCCGCCCTGAGTCTCAGAGGAGCGCGACGCTGGCCGAGCGAGGGGGTCGCGTGCTGCGGAAGACCACGCACACGCAGTCCGGCAGCCGGGTGTGTCCCTGGGCGGGGCGGGGGGGCACCTGTGCTGTGGCGGGTGACGTGGTGGAAGCACGTGTGGGCCCCGGGGGGACGGGGCGCAGGCTGGACCCCGGAGGCCCTGACCCGTGCCCGTGGCCTCGCTGCACGTGTCCTGGGAGGAGGCAGGAGCCCTCAGCGCCGGCTGAGCGGGGAGGGCAGTGACTTGTGGCATGAATTCCCCGCTTGCGCTGCTCGGGTTCAGGTTCTGGCCACGGCCGCGACCCCTTTGTGACTCAGGGCACGCGGCGTCCGAAGACTTGGCTGCTGCGTCTGTACAATGGGGGTCATTTTATCCCCAGGAATAAACGTGGCCGAGAGGAGAGAGGCCCGGCGTGGCATCTGAACAAAGTGCAGCTCGCCCTCCGGCCCTGCCGGAGCAAGGGCAGCCGTCGCTGTGCGCACCCGGCCGGCAGCGGCCGCGGCCGTGGGAGCCGCTGGTGCCAGGCGGCCGTGGGCCCTCGGGTCCAGGGCTGGGGGGGCGCGCCCCGCCTGGAGACGAGCTGAGCTGGAGGGGAGCGAGTTCGGGGACCGCCCGTGCCCCGCACGCCGCAGCGGAGACCCTCCCCTCCGCCCCTCAGCGCTCAGGGGACGCGTCCTCGTTTGGGCGTGGGCATCGGTGGGTCGTGGGCCAGACGAAGGCGGGAGGTTGGGACCTGCTGTGCCCCCGCGGGGCGACCCAGGCCGTGGGGGGCTGCCCCCCCGGGGCCGCCCGGGCTCTGTCTCGGCAGCGCCTCGGTCCAGAGCTGCACGCGCTCGTGGGTGGTGTTTGCTTTTAAGTTTTAATCAGTGAAGTAAGTAGAAAGAAAAGTCCAAGCCCTCCAGGTTCAGCAGCTGCTCGACACCAGTGCAGGCGACGGCTGCCCTGTCGCTGCGCGGAGCCCGCCGGCCAGACGCCACGCACACGCCGCACGCGAGGGACGGGGCGCACCTGACAGGCGGGGCGGGCCTGGCCGCTCCCTCCGATGACGACGAGACAGCAGGCGTGAGCGGTGGCCCGGCTGCTGGTGCCTGCTGGGAGCGCGGCTGTTGGCCGGGACGGGCAGAGGACTCGGCCGGAGCAGCGGCCGTGTCTGCGGCGATGCCGCTGTGTAACGTGGGTGACGGAAGGAAGGGAGCTGGTCTGGGAGGCGCTTTGTGCGAAGCGCCCGCGCGCGCCGCGGTCGGGCGGGCGCAGGGCCAGGTGCAGCCCAGCTCCGCGGTGCCTGTGCGTCCCACTCGGGTCCCCGCGGTTTAGACACTTTTGTCCCTGCAGTGCTGCACTTACCCGGGCACGTTTAATCCACTTCCATGTTTCTTAACTTCAAAACCCAGTAACTGACCCCCCAAGCTTTCGACTCGCTTGAAGTCTCAAGTGTTCGCTCCCCAGCCGATAACCTTTTGAGTCAGAGCAAGGACCCCGGGTGTCTTGGCACGAGTCACCTTGTCATCAGAAGTGTGCTGTTTTCACTAGGCCTCTGGAAATCCTGGAGAGCCCTGAACCCCCGGGGTTACACCGGCCCTAGGCCAAGGCGGCAGCCACGGAAGGGCGATGAGAGCGTCCAGCGGCGGGCGGGGCCGCCGTCCGCACGGCCCAGGCCGCCCACTCGTCCCGGGAGGCTGCCTTCCGCTCCGCCAGAGAGTTGCCGGCGTCACGCTGGGATGCGAGTGCGGGGAGCGGAGCAAGTGAGCCCCGCTCTCCCAGTTAGGGCGGCCTCCGGGGTTCGGGTCCCCAGACCCCAGGCCACGGTGTTCCTCAGGCAGAGATGAAGCCAGAGGTCAGGGGGAGGCCAGCCTGGGGACCGCGTCAGCAACGGCTTCTCCCCAAACTCCCAGCGTGCGAGCGTTGAACACGTGCCCGCTTTTAGATGGGCTTTTCAGTTCAGTCCTCCCAGCTTCCGATGCTGGGCGGCCCAGAAACGCAGCGTGATCCGGGAGGGTGACTGGGTCCTGGCGTGATCTGGACAGATGGGGTTCTCACCTGCAGACAGAAGGTGCTCGCCCGGTAAAGTCAGACACTTCATTGTGCTAATTAATCCAGGCGGGACCCCGAAAACCGCGCTTTGGCTGAATTTCCCATCCAGCAAGGGCGACCGTGCTTTCTGTCGGCCAGCGCGGGAAATTCACTGCCCTGGACACCTCGTCCACAGGGGAGAGTCTTAATCAATGCAAGAAGGCCGACGGACGACAGCTGGTTTCGGCAGGGAAGCGGCCCCTCTGGTCGGCCGCTGGGGCAGTGGCGTCCGCACTGAGCCCGGCCCTGGCAAGGCCTCTCCCGGGAGGGGCAGTAAAGGATCCTCGCTTTGGATTCGTTCAGTTGGCACTTCTTTAAAGGCAGAAAAATGCTCCTTTTCAAAAAGCAGTGTCCCCTCAGCCACCCGCACATCGCGGCGTCTGCAGGCGTCCGGCTGATCACCGGCCGCGCTCTCACTAGGAAACGCCCTCTCTCTGGGCCAGGGGTCAGGCAGCAGGGCCTCTTCCGGCCCTCTCCCCAGGTGCCTTCGTGGCCTGTGGCACGTGCAGACACGCGGCTGGAGCGGGAAGACCGCGGCAGCCCCTCCGCACCTCGGGGTGCCGCGCCGCCTGGGGGAGACATGCACAGAGGCGACTTGCGTGTGGCTGGTTGGCCGCCGTCGGCCTGAGCTGATGTGTGGGCCCCATAACAGACCCGCCGGGGACCTTCGGACTCAGCTCCCCTCGCTGGGCAGTGGACGTGACTGCCTCCACCCACTGGCTGTGAAAACTGAGTCACTGGAACTGAGCGTGGGAGGGGCCGGCGCCCCCACCCACACCCTGGGGCTCGTGGGCGCTCCTCACTCAGCGGGTGAGGCCGAGTGTGGCGCAGCCCCCAGGCCACCCGGCGGCGGGGCTCCCTCAGTCCAGGAGTCGAAGCCGAGACAGCCCGGGACCTCCCGCTCCTCCCCACCTCGTGCGAACGCGTGGGGCCCCTTCTCCGGACAGCATTTAAGGGACGCGTACGGGACGGTCCTGGCGCCCAGCGCCCAGCTGCGCGGCGCCTTCTCCCCGGGGAGCCGTGCCCTTGCCCCGGGGACCCCATCTGCGTCTGCGTGTACTTGGTGTGAACTCGGTTCTGTTGTCTCCTTTGTCTCCTGTCTCCCCTGCAGGCGGAAGAGACGGAACTTCAACAAGCAGGCGACCGAAATCCTGAACGAATATTTCTATTCCCATCTCAGCAACCCTTACCCCAGTGAGGAAGCCAAAGAGGAGTTAGCCAAGAAGTGCGGCATCACCGTGTCCCAGGTGAGGACCCGGGGCTCAGCCTGCGGCTCGGCGGGGCGGCCACCTGCCAGGCTGGGCGTTGGCGCTGCCGAACCTCACGCGCTGCGAGCCTGAGCCCGCAGAACCCTGAGGTGGCGCGGTCGGCACGTGGTGCGTGTCCGCAGGGGCGCTTCCCGTGGGCACCGGGGAGCGGGGCTCAGCGCCCCCTGACTGACTGCCCGCCGCTCCGAGTGGGAAGGGCCCTCGCGTCCGCTCGGGAAGCCACCTGCCCTTCTCAGGTCGCTCCTCAGTCATGGGCAGGCCCACCCCCCGCTTGCCGCCCGGCCCGGGAAGCTGAGGAGCCAGGAGGCGGGCGCTCTCCCTTACACGCTCCCTCCGACCGACGCATGTGGGGACTTGGGCACGTCACTGTGCTCGCGCTGGAAGGGTTGGGCACAATGTCCCTGAGTGCCCTGCCCCCGAAGAGCCAGCCCGCAGCCGGTGCCGCTGATGTGGGAGGATGCAGGCAGCAAGCGCTTGTGGACAGGGCCGCCGCGCCAAGGAGGGTGCCCGCGCGTGCGTTCCGTCTCGGGGCACCCGAGCACCCCCCAGTCGGACCCCGTCAGCCATCCGCGGCCTCTGCTGGGGACCAGGACAGGGGTCCCGCAACTTGTGCGGGGAAGTCCTCTCAGAGCCGTGTGGCGCGCAGGAGGCCTGCGGTGCTGGCGCGTCCCTAAGAGCCGTGGGGGCAGAGAGAAGTCCTGCTGAACGTTTTCCAGTTGCTTTGTACAAGCCAAGCGCCGGCACTTCCTTGAATCACATCCTGGCTTCTGTTCTTGTCGGCAGGGCGCGGCCCCGATTAGCCGAGCAGGCGCGGCGTCCCCCTGGGGGTCGCCGTGAAGATGCTGCCAGTGGCCCCGCAGGCAGGGGCCGTGCCGCGGCCTCGCGCGCGGCCCCCCCAGCAGGGAGAGGAGGCGGGAGGGGTCCGCTCCCTTTCAGCCCGACCTTCCACCACGGGCACTGTGAGCCCGCGGCTCGTCCTCCGCAGCCCTGCCCGCCCTGCCCTGGGCCAGGGCAGCCCCGGGGGCACCTGGCGCGGCCTGGTGGTTGACCCCGCCCACGTCCGGGCCCTTGGTCCACCAGGAAAGGGAGCCGCCCTCTGGGGAGTTCACTGCCCGTGGGAGGGGTGGCGGCCTCTGCGGGCCGCACCTCCAGCCCACAGCCCGTGAGCATCGGCCGTGGGACCGGCTCTGGGGACTGAGCCCCAGAATCAGGCCCCCGGCCCCCGGTGGAGGAGCGCGGAGGCCCCGGGGAGCCCCGGCCCGCCCCCGCGCTGCACCCCCTCCCTGCGGCAACGCGGAGCGCACCTCGAGCGCCCGTCAGAGAGGCTGTTCACATGCGGGCACCTTGTTTGTCCCCCACCCACCCCAAGGCCATGGCCCCTTCCTCCTGTCGCCTCGCTCTGCCCAAGCAGCCGGGCGGGCCCACCGTCACCAGGCGAGTCCGGGGACAGTGTGGCGTCAGACCTTGGCCAGGGGTCAGCTGTGCGCGCTCAGGAAGCTCACTCTTCCTTTCGGTTACCGGTCTCATTTCGGTTCTTACCGACCCCCGTTCCTGGGCCCCGAGAGGTACAAAGTCTCCGAGTTCCCAGGTCTTGGGGGCGCCTTGTGAGCTGCCTCCCTCCCCCGCTCCCATCTCGGTTAACAGTCCCCTCCCCCGCCGAGCCCCGCCCCCTCGCCCCCAGGGCACTGTTCTCTGCGGCCTCCCCCTCCCCCAGCCCCGCCCGGCCTGTGGTCTGAGCCACTGTGCCAAGTCCCCGATTCTTTCAAAACCCACTTACTAAGGCGCTCTCCCAGGGATCAGAACAAGAACGGGCCCGTTCACACAACCCGCCCGAGGTCCACCCATCGGCCCTCTCTCCTCTGATCCCTGCGCAGCCCTCCCGGGCCCCAGGGCTGTGGAGCAGGCCCCCCAGGTCTCGCCCGCCCCAGTTCTGCGCCAGCTTCCCTGGGGGCAGGGGAACAGGAGGCCAGGAACCCGTTCTCAGCAGCCCTCTGTGCCCTTGACTCCCCCGCACGGCTCTGAGTGGCTCGCCCGGGTCCACAGCCACGGACAGGCCCCCGCTCCGGCCTCCCGGTGGCTCTTCCCGCCAGAGCGGGCTCTGCCGGGGCTCCGCCCACAGGCCCCTCACATTCAAAATGGGCTCCAGGTTTCCCCCGGGATGGGGGCCCCGTCTCAGAGCCCACCTCTCACCTGTGCACCCGACGCCGAGCAGACCCCTGGTCCGTGTGCTGAACCGCGGGCTCGGTAACGGGGACCCCGGTTCAACACGTCGCCCGGGCAGGGACGTCCCCTGCGCCGCCCCCACTCAGTTGGCAGCTGTTCTCAGCGAGCCCCTCCCCACCCTCTTCCCCTTCCCTCACGTGTAGCTGTTCTGATCAGCCCCCCGCCGTGTCCCTTCTTCCTCAGAGGTCCCCCGGATACCACCTTGCCCCCCTTTCTTAGCTCATCCGGCTCTCTGAGCCGACCCCTGGCTCCTTCCCCACCCGGTGCCCTGGAAGCCGGCAGCGGTGTCAGGGAGGCGGAGCTCGGGCGAGACCGGCAGGCAGTGTCCCCGCGCGGCCCTTCCGGCTTCTGGTTGAGGTCTCTTTTTTCGGGTGTACAAGCACGTCCAGTATTCAGCATTTTCTTACGGAATTTCTCGTGTATACTAATGTTGCAGTGGTTTAATTTTTACAGCAAAGGACTGTGAGAGTTAGCCTGTAAGAGTGTTGGGTTTTGCCAGTGCGTTCAAAAATAAGTGTGGTTTTGCAAGAGCTCCCCTCGTCTGCCAGCCCCGGGCCGCGCGCCGATGCCGTGTGCGCCGTGGTGCGTGCGTGAGCCGCCCATCCTCGCCGGGTCGTGGTTTGGTTTGTAATTACATAAAAACCACCGCATTTTAGTGCTGAGTCGCATCTGGAACACGGGGCGCAAGCGCCCCTCCCTGGGCTGGAACGCAGAGAGGGCGGCTCGCCTTCGCGGCCTGTGCCAGGCCCTGGCGGGGCGCGTGCAGGGGCCTGGGGCTCGGTCAGGCCCGGCCAGCTGCCAGGAGCCTCCCCGGGAACCCCGTCAGCGCCCGGCGGAAGTGAGGCTCCTTGGGTCGTCGACGGCACCGTGGCAGCATCTTCTCCCTGGGCCAGCGACACAGGCTTGGCACACACGGTGCAGCCTACGGGACCGAGTTACACGACACTAAGGTCTTAGTGCGAAGCAGCAGAGGACCTGGTCCATGGTGAAGTGCCTTAACCCCGAAAAATTCTAGTTTAATCCACCAATGTTGATGGAGTTGAATGTGGATACTTAAAGGCCTTGTGTGTTTATTGCTCAAAGTCAGCATTAGCATTGCTACGACAAAGAAAATTCCTGCAAACACTACGCTTACTGTGTAAATGCCTTTTATTTTAGTGTCCTGCTGGAGAGGTAAGCAAACACAAAACGCTGCCCTGGCTGGAGGCCCCGGTGTCCACGCGCCGCTCCTCCCTAGGAAAGCTGCTGCCCCCGCCGCCGCCGCGCCGCGCTCCGCGGGGGTCTCACTCCACACCGCCAGCCCTCTAGCAGCGCAGACCGTCCCCAGGCGGCGGCCCCTCTGCGCCCCCTCCCCGCTCCCGGCCCCTGTGCCCTTGGCGGCGGGGGTGCTAACCTTGTTGTCCTTTCTCACCCTGCTCCAGGTATCAAACTGGTTTGGAAATAAGCGAATCCGGTACAAGAAGAACATAGGTAAATTCCAAGAGGAAGCCAATATTTATGCTGCCAAAACGGCTGTCACGGCCACCAACGTGTCCGCCCACGGGAGCCAAGCCAACTCGCCCTCCACTCCCAACTCGGCTGGTTAGTTTCCTCTTTGGTTCGTCGGGATGGGGCTGTTTTCGTACATGTTCTTCCTGCCGCGGGGTTCGTTGTAACTCTTCGGGTTTCTTGGTCTGTGTATTTGAGTGTCCTTTTGGTCATCAGCGTCCCTGTGGGTTTTCCCTTCCGTTTCCAAAGAGGGATGTGTTCCCGTACGTGTAGGCCGGGCTTGCCTGGGGGCGAGCGCTGTGTCTGTTTCAGGGACATTCGTTGCTGTTGACCAGGTGACCTCAACGTCTCCCTTGGGAGACGCCCGTGAGGGAGCGGGACCAGACACCTAGACATGGCCCCGGGGCCAGCGCTTGGCGGCCCCGGGGAAGGGGCCCTTGTCTGCGCTGCCAGCCCGCCGCAGGCTGCCGGGGCCACCCCCGCGCGGGTCCTCTGCGTCCACGCTCGCTGTGCCCGCAGACGGCTCCTCAACTGCTTGGTTCTGCCGAGCCAGGTTGTGGCTCCTTCTGTACTTTTTATAGTTGTTATTCTTTACTATATTTTCCTGGTTTTCTTTATTTAAACTACAAAGGAAGTCGCCAGTCATTTATTCAGATTATTCAGATTTCAGTCTCCACGTTACAGTATTAGTCATGTGCTGTGTTCCTCGTTTACTTCAGTGGATGTGCATTGTAACACTAATTCCAGAGTTTCGGCTGACAAAACATGTTTTAGGGTGTGCTTTCTGTCATTAATTCTGAATTTCTCCTTGTGAAAAAAACATGGTCAAAATGCATGCATTATCACCTAAGTTTTGTATGCTATGGGCGAGGCATGTTGTTACTTTTTTTAAAGAGAAAACCCAGAAATGTTTCCTTACTGAGTTTGGCCTTGTGTTAGGGCAGCTCAGCCCGTGGCTGCGCGGGCGCGTCTGGGGAGTGAGTGCCCCCGATTCTGAAGGGGCGCACGTTGGAATATGTTAGATCATAAAGTAACAAATAATGACAAATCTGATTTCCAGCCTTTCTGGGGGTCTGTGGGATCTTTGACCCCAAAGCTTGTTTGTCCACTAAAATAAGTTCCCTTCCTCCCTGCAGGGGGCGGTTCTTGGGGACACAGGGGCTCCAACCTGGCATGAGCTTCTGGCCGCACCAGTGTGTAGGGGGAGGGCGGCCGAGCCGGCTGCGGCGCTGAGCCTCCTTTGTTCCCACGAAGCCCTGCTGGGCGCGGGGGGCTCTGCAGACAAGGGCGCGGCGGCGGCGGCGGCGGCGAGAGGCACAGTTCCGCCCTGCTGCCTTTCTCCAGCGCTCTGGGTCGGGGGCCCGTAGGGCGCGCCGGCCGGGGAGGCTTCATGTGTCTTACTGTCTGCCCATCGCGGCGTGATTGGCGAGAGACCAAAGCCAGCGGGTTAGGAACCAGCCTCCTTCCGCCCAGCAGGTCTGCGACGAGGCATTTACGACCCAGCAGCCCTGGGGGATCGCGCTGTGCGGCCCCGTGTCCCGGTCTCTGGAGCAAGTGCGGTTTTGTCGGCTTTCGCGAAACTCGCCCGCGCTCCCGTGACGGTTGTCATGATGCAAACCCGCTACCAGAGTGGCCCCTTCCTGCCGCTGACTCTCCGCACGCAGCCGGTGCGTCGGGCTTTGTGGCCCGTCCTCACGCCGGCCCGGCGGGCAGCCCTCAGGGCTGTGTCCGGGGCTTTCTCTTCTTCCCTAAAACGCTTCAAAAGAGCCTCTGGGTGGCCCCCAGTCGGCGTCAGAGAAGCACGTCCGCGCCCCTGGAGTGCCGCTCTCTGATCACACTTTCCTGAGAAGGTGCTTGGTGCCTTAAACCTCCTGCTCCAGTTCTAAGCACGAAGCAGATGATGATGGGAAGTTCGGGCTAAGGGTCCCCCCCCGCCCCCGCGCTGTCCCTGAGCCGCTGGAACTGTCCCACAGAGGAGCCCCTGAGGGTGAGGCAGAGAAAGGGGGTTCTGTTGTGTACGTGCAGGGGCCTGGACGTCTAAAGATAAACATTTTACGGGGGAAGTTCTGAGGGGCCCGCCGGTGTTTCCTCGGCTCTTCATGCCGCGCAGGCCGCCACAGGCGGCACAGGGCAGCTTCCGCGCGGCCACGCCTTCCACCGAGGGCTTCGCTGCTGCGCCGGCTCGTCCCCAGTCGAAAGGGGGGACAGGGATGGAGAGAGGTGGCCGGTGTGGCGTGAAAGGGCAGCCTGGGAAAACACGTTTTGGCCGAGTTCGGGGTCTAGTGTTCTGGAACCGGGGGCGTTCTGTGTCCTCGATACGGAGGCAGGGGGTTTTTCCAGAAACCTTGCTGAACGTAAATACTCACTTCCTTCGCAAGGAAGACACGCGGCAAGTACATCTTCCCCAGAGGCGTCTGTGGGAAGGGCCGGGCTTCCACACGGTCACGGAGGCCTCTTCGAGTGTCCCTGTCGGTTGATGTGCGCTGGGTCTGTTCCCTCAGCAGGAGTCACAGAAACCACTTAAACGTAGGACCCGTGGCAGGTTAGCAGATGTTTAGAGATACTTGACAAACGCCGCATTTTATACCAGCAGAGTTGGGCAAAACGGATGGAGCTGAGAGGAAGGATAGAAGAAAGACAAGAAGATGAAATTCGGAAACGCAGAAACAGGGGCCAGTCGAAGCCGCGGGAATAACCCTGGGTCCGCGATTCCTCTCACCTGGCCTTGAGGGGCAGAGCCCCTCTTTCCTGCTGCTGCTGAGGTTATAAGAGCAAGAGCTGAGATCCCAGAAAAGGGGCCCTTCGGGGAGGTGGGAGGGTGCCCTAACATCTGAGAAGGAAGGAGGGGGCTTGTGCGTTGCTGGTGTTTGCGGTGGCATAGCGTCAGCATCAGCCCTGGACCGGGCTCTGTGGCACACGGGCCGCGCCCCCCGGCTGAGTCCTGCTCAGCCGCCCGCGGGTGGCGAGGGCGCCCTGGTCTGCGTCCTCGCGCCTCCCCTGAGCGCGGGCAGGGGGGGACCGTCACAGCAGAGCCCCGGGCGCCGGCTCCCCGTGCGGCCCGCGGGGCCAGAGGCGGTCACACGCCCAGAGACGCCGACCGGCACCTCTGGGGGCCCCCGCAGGGGCCCCGATGATGCTGTGACTTAGAGCCGAGCGAGGAGCTCGGCCCCGTGACGTTCGCTGCTGCGCCCCCCTTCCCATGTGTCCCTGACGGCCAGAGTGGGAGATGGAACAGCCGCCTCGAGCCGGGCGTCGGGGACCTCGACCTGCGCGCCCCTGCGGTTTCCTGTTGGCCCAGACCACGTGCCCGTCTCTCCTTCGCCCTGAGTAGGAGGTCACGACGTTTTGTGTCTGGAGGAGGACGCAGCGTGGGCAGCGGAGGGGCAGCGTGAGACATGATCAGGCTTCCACCCGACCCGCGGGCTCGGTCTTGGCCGTTCGGATGATGTGGGACCCCCTCCACTGTGCGGCCACCTCGTCGGCCTGGAGCTTCCGTTTCCACTCCGCAGGCGGCGGCAGCCTTTCCACGCACTGGCTTCACCCCAGCGCTGCCGCGCTGGTAGGCGAGCCCCCATAGCACCTGGGACACGAGAGCAAGTCTGTTCTGTTCCAGGTCATGGGCGCCCAGCAGGAGGGCTTGCGTCCCCGGGGACGTTCGGGACAGTCTGAGACATCTCTGGTTGTCACAGTTTGGCATTAGGGTCCAGAGGCCAGGGACGTGGCCGGTCCTCCCGCAGTTCATTCCCGGCAGCAAGGCGGGAGGGGCCCAAGGGGTTGGTGGTGCCCGGGGCTGGGCACCCCGCGCTAGGCTGCGGCTTTATCGTTGGATTCTCGTTCTGGGATCACGAAAGGAGTTGGCTCTCTTTCCTGCACAAACTCAAGTCTCCTGAAGCCCCTCCAGAAACACGGTCCTCAGGGCGTGGGTGTCGGCCCATCGCTGGGTCTGCCTGAGCCAGCGCGGGGGCGCCCGCGAGCGACCCATTCTTGCCTCTCCATGTAGTTCGGGGCAGTCGCGCTCTGGACGTGCCTGAGTGTCCGGGTGGAAGCTGGGATCAGCCCCTCCCCCCGAGCCAAGCCAGGCTCAGAGCCTTGTAGCGGGCAAGCGCGTGGGACAGCGCACTTTGGCAGCCGACGTTGTTCTGCGGCCGACCTCGGGCAGTCGGGGGGCCGTTTCAGCCCTCGGAGGACCCGCGGCCCCTGCAACAGCCGTCCACCCCTGGTCTGAGGGCTGCGTCCTTCCCGGGCTCCCTTGCGTGGTCAGTCCTCCCCCACGTCCAGCGCAGCAGGGAGAACGCGCCTTCCGTTACTCAGGTTTCCGTGTGGACTTCCGGCCCTGGGCGCAGTGTCCGCCCCGGACGCGTCTCAGAGAGCGGGAGGCCTGGCGTGGCTGCGGTCTCTGCGCGCGCTTCTGAAATCCTCGCATGGGGGCAGCACGCAGTTGGGGTTCCGTGTCTTGGAGCTGAGTGTTCTTGGTGCTGGAGGCATTTGAATGTGAGTGTGGTCCCACTTACGGAAAAGTGGCTTCTAGTAATTAGGTTCTGTTTCTGGGATTGATAGGAAGGTTTAGGAGGGACGCGACAAGGGCCCCGTGAGACCATGAGCCGAGGCCTCTGCTCCCCCACGTGGGAGGACAGGCGCTCCAGGCCGGAGCCTGACCCAGGCCGAGCTCACCCCGTTTGGCCTAAGGCCCAGCTTTTCTAATTCCCTTGGCTGAGCCACACAGAGCCCCCCGTGCGGGGGAGGCGGGGGTCTGCGGGCCGCCCCTCGAGCCCCACGCGGCAGGACGCTCCCTGGGCTGTGGGAGGAGGGCCGGAGCGGAGGCTCGGCCCGCGGCGGGGCGAGCCCGTGCAGATGGCGGCTGTCTCAGAGCAAGGGGCGCGCCCTGCGCTAGCCAGGGCGGAAGTGAGAGCGTGGAGCTGACCTGGGCCCTGAGGTCTCCCCTGCCAGGCTAACGTCACCGCTTAACCCGCCTTGCACGCTGAGCTTTCCTTCCTAACGCGCTGAGCTGCACGACGTTCAGCTTCTCCACACCCTGTGTCTGGGTCGCGGGCGGGGACTAGGCGCGCCCAGTGGGAGAAGGCCAGGAGGGGCCCCCAGGCCAACCCCGAGAGAGGCCCGTCCCGGAGGGGCCTGCGGGCCGCCCCCTCGAGGCCCACCTCGGTTCTCCCTAATCACCGCCCCCGCACTTTGCTTCCTGCATGCTCGGGACCCACCCATCAGCTCTGCTTCCTCTTCCTCCAGGAGGGCGGGGCGGGGAGGCGGCTCACGCCCACAGACCCGCAGCCCTGGGGGCCTGGGGGGGGCGGTGGGCCCCCAGCGGGGAGCGCCCCTCCCTCTAGAACCCGGCAGGTCACTGGCCTGCCGTCTGTCCGGGGTGCTGCCTCCGGGCTCCGCTCCCGGGCGCCCCCAGGTGTGCAGAGCCGGGCTGGCGGGCGTGGCGGAGGCAGCACGTCCTGGACCGGCACCCACGCTCCAGCTCGCGGTCCCCTGGCCGACCCTCGGCTTCAGAGGCGGGGCAGAGGGGTCTGAGGTCTGGAGCCTGTGTGCAGCCCCGCAAGGCCCAGGGGGGAGGAACGAAGGTCCCGTCTCTGCCTGGCGCCGGCGGGGCCGGTCCTGGGGCGCCCGGGAGCCTGGCCTCAGCTCACGGGCCGCTGCACCCTTGTCGCTTGCTCTGTCTCCACGCTACTAACAGGCCCGCGGCGGCGGCCGCTGTGCATGCCCCTCCCTCTCGGCTGTCGGCTGCGGGGGGCCTTTTCCTTTCTGTGATTCAGGTGCCTCGTCCTTTCCTTTCCAGGTTCTTCCAGCTCTTTTAACATGTCAAACTCTGGAGACTTGTTCATGAGCGTGCAGTCACTCAATGGGGATTCTTACCAAGGGGCCCAGGTTGGAGCCAACGTGCAATCACAGGTAGGGGCCAGCCCGGTGCCGCCGGGGAACGCGCCAGCGTCCCGGAGCCCTCAGCCGCGTCGGTGCTTCCGCCTCTGTCCGGAGAGGGAGAGGGAGGACCTAGAAACCGATCTTAACAGCCAAACCAAAGCGAAGCAAAGACACCGTTGTCGTGGGGGATCTCGTCCACACGCGGTGAACGCACCCGGCTCTGGCCTGTCAGTCACGTGGGGAAGGCGGGACAGGAGCAGGCGGCGAGGTGGCGAGGCTGACCGGGCAGCGGGGCCAGCGTTCTCCGGCGGGAAGGACGGGCTGCCGGTGCGCGTTCCCGCTCTCCCGGTCGCCCTCTTGCCCGGGGCTTTCCGCTCAGTGTCGGCCAGACGCGGAGGTGGCTGCTGAGGGGCAGGCGCCTTCGCACCTCGTGTCTCCGTGCGAGGCCTTAGAGACGCGCAGCCAGGTGACTGGGCTCATGTCTGGGGCCTCCGTCCGGGTGGCGACTCCCGGGCCAGGTCGAGAAGCAGACAGGAAGCCGTGTGGTGGGGGCCCTGGGCGTCCCGGGGGCAGCTCACCCTCCCCACGCCCGGCGGGCAAGGGCAGGGGCGCTTCCGAGCCCTGTCCGCCCAAGGCCCTGCCGGCGCCTGGATGGGAAGCATGGCCCAGGCCAGGCCAGCCGGCCGGCGAGCCGGCCCGCGCTCAGGGAGCGGCCTGGGCTCCGGCGCGAGGAGCTGTGGTCAGGTGTTGGTCAGGTGACCGAACGACTGGCCGTCATTTCGGTCCTCGGACAGAGTGTGAGCCCCACGCTGCGCTCGGGGAGGTGCCGACGGGTCCCCTTGGCACCGCAGCTCGGCTGTCCCGGGACACCCAGCGGAGGAGAAGCTGTGCTGGAGACGGTGCGGGAGGGGCAGCCCTCACCCCGCCCCCGCCCCCCCACGCAGCCCCTGTGTGTCATGCAGCTTCGCTGAGAGTTCTGCGCGGGGCGGGGGTCCCGCTTTCCGCCACCACGGGCACGGGCCGCCTCCCCGAGCCCAGGCGAGGCTGCAGGGGCCCAGCCTCCTCCCGTGGGGCCCTGCCCGGACGACCGGCCGCCTGCAGCGCGGGGGCGCGCCCTGGGGGCCGGGGGACGGGGTGCTGCCGCTCCCCGCTGCCCTGCCCCCCTGACTAACCTCCTCTCTTGTTCGCCCGTCCAGGTGGATACCCTTCGCCATGTTATCAGCCAGACAGGAGGATACAGTGACGGACTCGCGGCCAGTCAGATGTACAGCCCGCAGGGTATCAGTGTAAGAGCCCGCCCCCGTTCCCGCTCTCTCCCTGCCGGTTGTTTCAGAGCCGCCAGGCGCGCGGCGGCTCTCCGCGGGCTCGGCTTAGCCTCATGGTCACCTTCTGTGTTGTGTGTGCGTCGGTGTTGCCAGCGGCCGCGTCCCACCCACAGAGCCTGTGGCCGGCCGTGTGCCGCCGCCGCCACGGTGGCTGGGAGCGGCTGCACAGGTGACAGCTGACCCAGCAGCGGCCGGACAGCCCCACGAGCGGGGCCGGCCCCCGGGAGGAGCGCCGTAGTCGGTATCCTCTGCATCCAGGTCTGTGGTCCTCAAAAGCCCCTCCCCGACCTGCCGAGGGGCGCTGGCGAAAGCATAGTGGCCAGCGAGGCCGGGCGGCGGGCGGGCGGCGCAGAGCGTGCTCCTCTGGGTCCCGGGCGCCCTGGCGGCTCCCGGCGAGCGTGGAAATGCGTAGCGACAGGCCACGGTGCACGGAGCGGAATCGGTGAGACAGACAGGAGGCAGCCGGGCACAGGCTGGGACAGCAGTCCCGCCTGGCTTCTCAGCTCGCACGTCCGCTCTCCGCCGCGGCGACAGCGCGCTGGGACGAGAGGGCCGCCCGCCCGCGCAAGGAGGCGGCCACCTCGACGCGGGGGCGCGCTGGGCGCTGAGCGCCGCGGCGGCTGGGGTGGGGCCGCTGGTGAAGGGAGCTGGGGTGGGTCGTGGGGCGGCGTGTCGCCGTTTTTGTCACAACACAGTCAGTCCCCCCGGGCAGCGCCGACGGAGGTGCGGGGCCTGTGCCCCCTCCGCCTCGTTGCCGCTCAACTCGCCGCAACTGCGGCCAGAGCGGCCAGAGCCAGGAGGAGCACAGCCCCCGGGGCGGGGGGGAAGGCAGTCGGATCCCGTCTCCGCAGCGGAGAGGGGGTGGCACGTGCTAGCTTTCCACGTTTGCCGTCTGGCCGCGTCAGGGCCGGGGAGACGGTCCGGAGAGCCACACCACACGCCCGCGCTCAACCAGCCTTTCTCTCTGGGGGTCCTCGGAGAGGGGCGCCTGGCAGCCCAAGTCCTCACCACGGAGCCCTCGGCCCGGGTCCGGCTCCTGGGCGCAGGCGTGGGGTCCGCACCAGGCCACCAGGCTTCTCCTTGGCTCTTCCGGCCCCTCCCAGCGCCCCTGCCCCCAGCCTTCTCCAGGCAGAGTCTCCTCTGCGCAGGGTCATACTCCACAAGACCGTCCCCGGGGGCGGAGCAGGAAGGGCGGAGCTGCCCTGTGCCGGGCGCTCCGGCCACGGAAGGGCTCGCGGGTGGAGGGACCCTTGTCCTCCGTCCCCCGCGAGCTGTTGCCCCGGGTTAGGTGGCGGGTCTCCAGAGGCTGCCAGGAGGGAGGCGGAGCCCGTGACGGTGACGCAGGCCCCCAGGTGGGTTCCAGATGGAGCCCGTGGCCCTGCGCTCCTGGGGGCCGCAGCCTGTGTGCATTTGCGCACTTCCCGACCTTCCGAGGCGTCAGATAGACTTTCCTGGAAGAGCTTTGCCCTGTAAGTGCGGGGGCGAGAGTCGGGGCTCCCCCCGGGGGGGCGCGGCGGCGAGGGACCGCCGGTGTCAGGGTGGGAGCAGCCGACAGCCCCGCCAGGGGGCGCCTCTCCGCCAGCCCACGCAGCCCCCCACGCGGAGGCCGCCCAGCCGCCAGCGTCCCCTGGGGGCTGGGAGTCGCTGCTGAAGCCGCGCAGCCCCACACGTGCAGGCGATCACGTCTGATTGCTGAGCCGCCGCGAAGGCCGGCCTTCAAAATGCCACTTGAAAGGGCCTCCCGTTTGCCTTCTGTGAATTGTTTGTTTTGTTCCCGGGCCTTTAATATGCAGGGCGGGCGAGTCAAAGGCCGGTCCCCAAGCAGCGCAGTCCTCTGTTAGCGATTCTAAGTGGTGCTGCCTGCTGGGGCCCCGCTGGCTAAGAGCGCGGGATGTTCTCAGGTGGCGGAGCGAGCCCCTGGGATGCGTGTGTCATGTGTGTCTGTGTGTGTCGCGGGGGGCGGGGCGCACAGGGGCTGTGGCTGCCAGGAGGAGAAAGGGAGGCGGAGAAGGAGGGGGGCCAGCAGGGACGAGGACAGACACAGACGGTTCCAGCCAAGCAGTGGAAGTAAACACCCCCGCCCCCGGGCAGCAGTGGAAGCCAGCCGGGCTCCGGGCTGTGTCCCGCTCCCCGGGCCGGCGCCCACCGCGCCCACGTGGTGTCCGAGCAGCATTTAAACCCTGTGACGCTCGGACCCCTGGCTTCAGCGGGACCACGCGGCCACGGCGGTACCGGGAGGCCCCTGGCAGGGGTCGGGAGTCAGGTCTCGGGGCGCGTGCCCCTGGCAGGGGTGGGACCTCTCTTAGGAAACGGGCCAGGGGTCCCCGCCCTCCGTGGCTTGGGCCGCTTCCGGGGAAACGCGCAGGCGGTGGGAAGGGCCCTGGCCCAGCGCCCGTCGTCCTCTCGGACGCTATGGGGACGGTCGCAGCGGTGACCGCTGGGCGGGCCCTTTCTCCTGTGGGTGGGCGGGTGGCACGGCAGGTGCTCCCTGGTGAGGGTCCTGGGACGCGGCTGCCGCATTTCTCGTCTGACGGCGAGGTGCTGCCTGAGGCCGCCCTTCACCGCGGTCTCGGCGGCGGCGGCCACCCCGCTGGGGGAAGCGTGGCGGTGAGGGCTGGCGCGCCGGCTCCGGGGGCCTGACGGTCGGCCGCGCCGTAGGTTGCTTTGCTGCCACGCTGCGCCTGGCGACCCCGTGTCCCCATCCCGGTTCTCGGAACGGCCCCTCCGCCAGACCGTCGTCGCTGCTTCCTGATCACCTCGCGGCTCCCCCGCCCAGGCCCGGGGGCTGCCGGCCTGTCCCCTTCCCCACGTGGCCACCTGCCTGTTGTCCCGACAACCTTGGGAGCAGGCGAGATGCCACTGAATGGAAAAACTACCTAACGGCCCACGGCGACCGCTCGCATCCGGGGGAGTACTTAGTACTGCCTTTCTCGCTGAGAAAGGTTCCCCGGTCTCCTGTGTCCTGAGAAGCTTCTGCGCCTTCGGCCGGTGTGCACGGGGCGGGAGCGAGAGGCCGGTCGGCAGGAGACGGGAGCCGGCAGCGACGCCGTCGCGGGGGCGTGGCGCGTGCCCTCCGCGGAGGGTCGGCGGGCGCGCGGCCTGGCTGACCCAAGGGAGGCCCGGTCCGGCCCTCGGCCCCCTGCACGGCAGCCCCTTCGCCCCCGCGCCCTAGCAGCAGGGCGTGTGAGAGCGGGAAGGCGTTCGATCAGGCCCAGGATTGTTGGAGGAGCAGCACTGTCCCGGGCTGTAGGGCCGTGTGCCGCCCACCGTCCTCCCCGGCTGCCGGAGACCGACCGCCGCGAGGGCGCAGCGAGGGAGCGAGGAGCGCCCATTCAGCGGCGTGTGCGCGCCTTCGCGCCTGCGTCTGTCCCTCCCTCGGTCACCCGTCCACGTGCTCGTCCAGCCGTCCCTCCTCTGCCGCCAGCAGCAGCAGCCTTTGGGACTTCGGGGATGAGGCCGCACCCTGCCAGCCCCGGTCAAGGTGGGGAAAGCCTGGCCGCCCCCGGGGTGGCCTTCGCGTTCCCCCTCGCTCCGCGCTTTGCCTGGGCCGAGGTCTCCCGTCCTCAGAGGGCCAGGACAGGGAGCCAGCCCCCCCCCCGCCCCCGTCGCGGGGCTGCGCAGTGGGGGCGGGGGCCCAAGGCCCGCCCGCAGCGGCCTGCGAAGCCTGTCCCCGCGCGACCGGCCGTGCTGCGGAGGGAACAGCGGTGACGGCGGCCTCCTTTGGTGGAGATGCCTTCGTTTCAGGGAACGCGGTCTCACGGAGTCTTGTTAGCTCAGACCTGGGGATGCGATGACTCCAGACACCGTCACGTTGCAGGCGGGGGCTGGGGTGCACCTGCTTACGGGTCCCAGTTCTGCCGCCTCTGCCTCCGTGACTGGACAGGTGGCTTTCTCTCAAGGGACAGTTTCCTGAACTCTGAAACGGACAGGAAATTGACCAGGTGATGTCCAAGGCCTGTTCTAATGTCACATCCGCTTATAAACCATCTTTTCCTTTCCCAAGACATACAAAGAAGGGAGACACTTCGAAGTTATGAACAGAAGGGAGATTTGAACGCTCCGCATCGGAACCGGGGTTGAGAGCGTCCTGCGCAGTCAGGCCCGCGTGGGTCCCCCTGGCCGGGCGGCCCCCAGGCTCAGGTCGGCCGGGACTCCCGCTCCACAAAGAAGAAGTCTCGCCACCTCCAAAGGGCCCCTCGGTTTTTGTGGGCGCTCCCACAGGTGGCCTGGCCCCGCTAGACCTAAGTGAATACTAAGCGAATTAACTGGGCTGAATTTAACTGTGGGGAGTGTTGATTTCTGAAGGGCCCTTCTGTTGCCTTCTTGGAAGGAGTGACGTTCTTCTGCAAGCTTGATTTTGGGTAAAATAAGCAACCTCTTAGAAAAATACAAGTGTTGCTTGTAAATTTGGTACATTTTTAAAACCTCTATCTCTGGCTTTATTTGAATTGGGGGCGATTCTTTTTCATATTGCTGAATAATGATGTTTAATATCTAAATACTGTCTAATCTGACAGAGAAATAAGGTAGAAGGCAGGACCACCTCGGGTCTGGAACAACTAACCAGGCGAGGAAATAAACGAATAAATGCTTCGTTCAAACAAACATTCACTGAGAACCCGCTGATAGGCAGCGCGGGCAGGCAGACGTCCGCTGTGCCGCGGAGTCACAGAGAGCGGGCGGGGGCCCCCTCGCTCAGTCCCCAGCTTCTCGACTGCTCTGCCCAGTGTGGTTGGCATCCCATTATTTTTAAAGACCTCGGGAGAGGCCGCTGTAAGAGGAACTGGCATCTAATCGTGTTCCAATCCACTAAAAGCAGCGCATGCGTTGTTTATGGATGTGAATTGCATTTGCCGTCCTTTCATAGACTTCGCACGTGGCTGCGCAAAGGCGTCTTTCCCTCCTCGGCCGCGCTGTCCAGAGGGCTGCTCCTGCCAACATGCCCCGCTGCCCGCCAGCAT